CTTTCATTAATGTAATGGGAAAACATAATCAACTACTGTTCGTACGTTTTGAATCCAAAATTGATTTTTACTAGTAAAAGATTGGATGCTGCTAAATCAAATAATCATATTTACTCGTTTTGATAAACTTAAAGATTGAAGAAGCAAAATGAAAAATAATATTTAGTATGAAAATCAAGAATGGCATTTGGTCAACGTAATAAATTAACAACAAAGTCAGTTTAATTGACGTTGATGAAATCTTATTATGTGTACGATCGATGTACGTACTTTTAGATGATAAGTGTTGACAAAATCTGAAATGCATGTAATAAAATTGGATAAGGGTGGCGGGCGGGAAAAGCTCACGTGACAGAATTATTTAATTCCAAGTATGACCAACAATCTCCTATCGATCGGGTTCTGAAAACCTTTGATTTTTTTTTTTTTTTCAAATGATAGACTTTATTAGATTACATATTAGATTAGTCATCGATAAAGTTTAAATTCACATCATCTTGTAATAACTCAACATATCTCCACCACTGTGGTAAATAACCACTTGCCTAAATTCCTTTGACTAGAAAGGTGAAATTCGTAATATAGTGATAATTCAACATTTCCTAATGTAATCTTAGGGATGAACAAAACTTATCATTTGAGTTCGATCTTGAGTTTGTTTCCTTTATTTATATTCAGTAATCTGCAAATTATAATAACTATACATACAAAAAATGAACTTCAATGAAAAAAACATCTTAGTATTACAGTTTAGTGATATTCATTTTCACTTATAAGTTAGAGATTTTAGATTCGATACTCGCTAAAGACGAATTTAAACCACATTATTGCTAACCTATTGTAAAACTTAGTCCACTCCCCATCTTCAATTCCTTCATGTGAATAATATCGTTGTTTAAAAAAAAATTAAAACATGAAAAAAATATAGTCATATGTATTCCGCTTTTTAGGTTTGTCATGCATGAAAAATTAGGTATGTGATAACCAGTGGCGGATCCAGGATTTTAAATTTGGGGGGTCCCATTAAGAAAGGTAAAATTTTTTATAAACAACATTAACAATGAAAAGTTAAATATAATACATTTCATTCAAAAATCATACGCAAAACAACATTACAAGTTATAAAATCCTAATTTGAGCGTCCACAATGGGGTTTCATAGTATGAAAATGTTCTATGATAGCTTCATTACCAGTACATAAAAAAACATATTTCTCAATATAAATAACTAATTAAGTCACTCAACTATCTTTCTCAATGAACAAATAGATGGTGCTATTGTCTTTGGCTTGAAAAATCTCTCCATATTTTTTATTTCTAAACTACGCATTTAACAAAAAAAAAACACAAAACATATACCAATTGTTAAAAACGGTCCTATTTTCTTTCTTCTTCGCTTGTGATCTAGGCGGACTAGGTGAATTTAAGTAAATTTATTATATACCTTTAGTATTTTGGTGAATTTAAGGTAGAAGATAAAAGTTCAAATAATTACAAGTTCATAATAATTTACATAATATTTTTAGAGATCATATTGATTTATATTGAATTTTAAGACAAATAAGTGTGTTAAATATGTGGGTGTAGAAAGTAAAATGTGGTACTGGACGCATAAAGAGGCAGCCACACCAATTAGCAAAAATACACCTAGGGACTGACAACCCATTTTCTTTTTTGGAAAGATCAACTTGATGTTAGCTGTCCAAACGTGATTGGACCAATTAAAAAATGCATTAAATGGGAAAGTTTGAGGGTGGTCACGTGGGAATGAAGGGATGAGAGAGACTCATTTAATCATCTTCTTCCTGCTTTCGTCTTCGCAAGAACAAAACCACCAAACCCAGAAGTTACAGAACACCCTGAACAGACCTCGTGTTCGAGTACGAGGGGTCCTCAAAAAATTTCTAGCAGCGATTTAGGGTTGCCGAGAGGTCCTGGGACCTCCTAGGTCCCTCTATAGATCCGCCACTGCTTGGAGAGGTTGTATATGATTTTGCTTTTGATCGTCGGGGTTTAGATATTACGTGACCTGTTATGCGTTTTTTCTTAAATAATATAATATTGACATGGGTCCTAGTCTCCCAGTTTTAACTTCGTTCCAGCTCTCTTAAAAAAATTATTTTTAATATAATCGTCAGGGTTTAGAGTTGAAGAAGAAATGACTTCTAATTCAAAATAATCATCATTTACTCATTCCTTATGGGGAAAAAAAAAAAAAAAAACAAAAGGCAATTCATATGTCCACCCTAAGGCTGAGGTCATACACTTCTTTGTCCTGCCAGTTATGATGAACAATTTTTTACCGACATTTGTCATAAAAAAACATTCATTTTATTAACCATCATGTATCATTCAATAAAAAATAATCAATCAAATTGAATACCATCTAGTCATCTATAATTCATTAAATAAGTAGTTCGCTACTAGAAGATTAACATTGATTTGTTCAAAGACTCTTTATAATCATCATTTACTCATTCCTTATGGGAAAAAAAAAAAAAAAAAAAGAACAAAAAAAGGCAATTCATGTGTCCACCCTAAGGCTGAGGTCATACACTTCTTTGTCCTGCCAGTTATGATTAACAATTTTTTACCGACATTTGTCATAAAAAACATTTATTTTATTAATCATCATGTATCATTCAATAACAAATAATCAATCAAATTGAATATCGTCTAGTCATCCATAATTCATCAAATAAGCAGTTCGCTACGAGAAGATTAACATTGATTTGTTCAAAGACTCTTTATAATGATTTTTTGGATGTAAACCTACAACGCCGTCTTAAGAGTAAGCTCGTTATAAAAACAATTTTGCATGCACACATGGGCCTAAAAGATTTGAACCCACCTTAGAAAGCATAATACACTAACAGCACCAGTACTGTACACACATATTGGAAGGGCCGCAGTAGATATTGATACACATTTGAGTTCCTGCAGCCTTCAGCACAACCGCGTGTTGCAATTGCATGTTTAGTCCTCTGCGTTAAATATATAATTCTAAAATTCGAGGGAAAGTTGGGAGACCATTCCAGAATTCACTGAAACTTCAGATTAACCATATTAACAATAGGGTTGCAGAATTGATTCATTCATTATAACAATCAAGATTAGCGTTTGCGCTTAGGGTTTAGAGATGTTAACATTATCAAATCTCAAATCCGAATCTCCTCTCCGTTGTTTGATTAAAAGGCTTAGACCTAGCCTTACACAACGACATATACAAATTGGCCTCTGAAAGAACCGACACCAAAGTTCGAAACTTAGAAAAACGTTGCAGAAGTAAGAATAAATCTATCAGCAACTGGGTAACTGGGCAACTCCCACACTCATCCCAGCCACTTAGACCATGCTTGTATTGAGTTGAGCTTTTGGGTATTTTAACAAAAATTAATAAGTTGAATTTACAGCTCAAAACCCCTGCCGAAATTTACTCATAAAATTCTTAATACTACCAGGTATTTGGGTAGCACAACATTTGATCATCTTCAAAAAGAAAGAAAAAACACTATATTACACTAACACTGCTTGGTTCCGTTTTTCATCTTTACCTTTATACACACAAAAATAAAATAAAAATTTTAAACCTCAATAAAATCATGAAGAAAAATTTCTACCCTTGTAAAGTATAACTAAAGCCTCACAAAACCCTAAAAAAATCCCATCAAATCATAAAGAATAGATCAACATCTTTTCACAGAGAAACACAGAGCTCAATGTATATGGTGACGGATCCAGTACATCTCTTTATACAGAGAAACACGGTTGAGACGACGGAGAGAGAGAGAGATAGTCTCACAGACTTCTGAGTTTTGATCTCGACCGTGATTTCTCTGTATAAAAGAATGGAATGAACCCTAAAACATGATGCCGCCGTCACAAGTTCAGGGCTCGAGTACGGTTTCTCTATCTATCTATAGCAAGGAAAGGGCTGATGTAATCTCAGTGTTTATAGCCCAAAAGATGCTCCACGCCACGTCCCTCTTTTCCTGCGTACTCTCCACGTAAACAAAGCCCTAGTCAAACTCAAAGCCGAAGAAATCCACCGCCACTAAACATGGGTTGGAAGGTACGGGGCTTCTTACACTCATGTGCTTAAATAAAAGGCCCAAAAGCCCATTTTTTTTTTTTTAAATTTTTTTTTTTTACAAGTGCTATACTAAAATGAATCGAAATCTTCTCTCAAACTCTATGTTCAGAGTCCAAGAATTAGAAGATCTGGACCATTAAATAGAGACATATTCAACCTTTAGTTTGTGTGAGGTGAGTTAGTAAATGGGCTAATGTGACCGCATAATTTAAAATGAGTGGTCTGAATCTTCTGATCCTTAGGCTCCGGACACAGAGATCTGGATAAGATCACCATTCTACTTAAATATGTGATTGAGTTAAGCAGCTAATGTGTCGATCATAATTTAAAATTGAACTCTTCATTTATGAAAGTCGAAAATGTATCATGTTACTCATGAGTGAAGAGTAGGACTTCTAAATCGTAATCATGAGAGAAACTCGAATTAATCTAATATCAAAGGTATCCAATGACAGGGATCAAAATCCTTGAATACAAACTCCTAGTAAATAAACACGCCGTACTAATTAAAGGGCGGTGCTATTCACATATATTGTTACCACTTATGTACCCTTTTCAATTTTCGATCGTCAATTGAATAAATTAAAAAAAAAGATCAAAAAATAAAAGTTAACAATGAATGCTTAAAAAATAAAAACGGATGTCCAGATAACACCGCCCCTAATCAAATAATCGTAATAAACATTCCGCTGCAAGTTCATAGCTCAAATGGCTAGTACAATTTACACATTGCAGGTAGTAGTTCAGGTCTCTGTTCGATTCCCTCCGCTATCCCTTGTACTGGTACAGAAAAGATTTCTTTAAAAAATAAAAAATCGACCAACCTTTTTTCCCATAGGGTCGGTAATTTGCCATGCAAGATCCAGGGATGATTGCAAACTCAAAACATGCCAAATCAAGTTTGTCCGAAGGATAAAATGTGGTTCCAATAAAATTACTTCAAATGTCAAGATCAACATGTATAATACGATTTAAGGTGCAGAAAATCTGCTTAATGCTAGAGTGAGACTAACTATACTCAAAAAGTGCAAGGGCAACTTCCCAGTGAGGATTCTAAACCACCGGCAACCAAATACGGTGAGGTGCAAGATAAACCCCGCTGAAACAACCCGGATACAAAATACAATATGGCTTTACGATTGATGAAGTTGTTTTGTCCAGTCAAAAGGTGACCAATCTTGATCGAAGCTCTTAACCGCTTGCTTCTGTGCCTCCACTGTCTCATGTCTTCGTCGGCGATACATGTCTTCCTCAGGCAATTGTAGCATGCCTCTTATGACATTCAGCCCAAGACTGCTGTTGAACTGCTGCTCGTCATCAATAACGTGCACAAACCCTTTATTCAGACCAAACTCCACATGAAAGTACGGAAAGTCCTTTGGAATTGACCCACGCAAGCCCTTCACGCTTGTATCAATTAGTCTTTTCGCATTGTGTTGGCTCCACTCATCTTCCGCTTCATCAATTGCCTGAGAGAAAGTTTATACACTTATTTAGTTCAAATGAGCAGACAAATTAAAATCACAGATTGTAGATTCAACATTATAGATTAAAATGTACATAAGCATTCAATTCAGAATATTTTAAAACACAACAATTGAGAACCTAATAAAATCTATGCGTATGTGTTTGAATATGGGCATGCACTTGTATATGTATCCAAATTTACTAGCACAGATATGTCGCATGAAATAATGTCACAAGTTCCTGGAAAAAGGGAATAGGCCATGAGTATTTTTTCCAGAAATAATGAGCAAAAACATTTCAAAACAAGCAGAGCAGAAAATCAATGCTTTTAAAATGAAAACAAAAAACATAATCCTCACCTTTTTAAAATATAGAGGAGCCTCTTTGGCAATTTCATCGGGTATAGGGATACACTCGACTATGCAATGGCGGCGTTGTTGAGCCAACCCCATCACAGTTTCCAGAAAAACTACTTCCTTCTCTTGCTTTGCAAACATCATAATAAGGCATTTCTTGAAATTTCTAATTTCTTGCCACACATCGTCGTCAACAGTTCTTGTGGATGGCACATGCTTTTCAGAATTATATAGATCAGATCAAATACACATCAACAAAAGCATTTAAAATATTACAAAAGGAGCGAACTAAAATTACATCCCCTAGTAACCTGAAAAGGGTTCCAATAATCACTTCTTTTTTTTCATTTGAGTTGAAGATGGTAAACAAAAGCATGAAATCTGGCTTTCTGGAACTTTGAAGTAAAGTACGACTGACTTGTGCTCATTATCAAATGACTACTGCAACAAAAAAAGTAAGAAAAGAAACTAATTTAAGCTCACCTGCATTGGTATAATACAACAATGACCAGGCACAACAGGCTGCTGATGCGGCAACATCAAATACGTGAAATTTGCAATGGCCACAACAAGATGCGCCGGCCTCCTCTGATTTTCGAAGCAAAAGACACATCTCTCCTGCTGCGTTGCGAATCGAGTTGCAAAACTGTTGTTCTGGGTGACTTTCTGATCACTACCCTGCTTCTTCTTGGACTTTTTTCTTGGAGTGTCATCGTGGTCATATTCATCATCCGCCTGACCAGATATACTGTACTTTTTGTTCTGGGTTATCCTTCGAGCTAGATGCATATCAGCATCCTCCTCCTTTTTCTTCTGGCGAAGAGCCATTTCCTGCATAACATGTCTACATAAAAGGCAATCTGATTAGAACACCAATAATTATGTGAGGGAAAAAACAAATCATACCATGCACAGGAAATCAATCAACAAATGAACACTCCCCGACAGGAATTCCATAACGAATCCTATAAGAGTTGGCCCGTGTTTTATGTTACAAATTCTACTATACACTACAGTTCTGTTCTACAATTTCATCATCCTTACAAAATTGAATCTTGTACTTGTTTACGGAAATGGAAAAAGCACACAGGATAAAACAAGAACCGAACACTCATTTTCAAGAACTGCAAAAGACCCATTTGTCATTAGAAATACTACTTTGCTCCACACTCCCTTTTTATAACTTAAAGAACTAGTCCACAATTGTATCTTATTTACAGCAGAAAGCATTAGACAATAAACAAATAATAGGGGAAAATAGAAAATAATAATATGCAACATTACCTGCTTGTGCCCTGTTCATTTCTTGGTCTCATAAAATTATCTCCACTAGCCTGCTTTACCTTTCTGTTTTCTACTTCTTGCTATTAGCAAAAAGAAAAAATCAATTAATCACTGAAATCAAAAATCGTGATATATGAATAACACGTTGTCCGCATCCTATGTGCTAAACAAGTGGGTTACACAGTGTTATAAACTAATAATCATAAGAAAGATTTTAATATCGCAATACAGAGAAGCATAGGCATCTCTGTCAAACTAAATAGATGCATGCAAAAAATAGTAGGGACACAACCCAAGCAAAAGTGTTTAAGATTTTGTGAAGTTGAAAAAAGAAAACAGCAAACAAAGGACAGCAAATTCCCTAAACAAGATGAACCAAAATAGTCGTAACTGCAGAAGAGTATTTTCCACTGCATTAGAAGTTAGATAACCTCTATACTAAGTTGCTCAATAAACCGGGTGGTAATTTAAGTTGAGGATAATGTGGAGAACAGACTACGGCCAATTCAATCTACCAACATTAGCATATAGGATAAAAAGCTGTTCATATTACTTGGGAGAGAGAGGATATTGCATGCTTCTTACCAGAAGTTCCTCAGCTTCTTCCAGCTTTCCTTTCATACGAAGTTGAAAGGCCTTAGCTGCCAACTGGTTCACATTCAATTCATGAAATGCAGCACTTGCTTTGCTAGTGTCTGCTATATTTTCGTGAGTGGGATTACTCAAATCATCAGTTTGCTTACGAAGAACATCAGACATGAAGCTTCCATCATTTGAAAACTGATTTAAGTTAGCGACTGCATCCGCCAAAATACTAGAATCCTGAGTAGAAACATCTCGCTTTTTCCAAGATAAAGAATCTTGCATTTTAGGCTCCCTCCATTTAGGAAGTCCACAAGATACATCCTTCAGGTAGTGCCGACTAGCGTCCTAGAAATCAAATTCATGTAGCATGTAAGAAACACAAATATTAATTATAAACTAAAAAACAAGGTCAATAACAGTTGAATTTCATAGTTAAGCATTTTCGAAAAACTGAGTGCCCTCCCATACACCTTTTTATTATCCATGTCACTTTGATTGCTGGAATCTGGTTGGCGTTCCTCACTCAGCCCTTTCTGTCTACTTTTTATGGCATGTAGATGAGCACGCGATTGGGCAGCTTTATTAGATGCCACGGAGACGGTCAGTTCACCAAGAGAACCCCAACGCTCTCCGACAACCTGTATAAAAAAATAAGGATCAGATCCCAAAGAAGATACCAAAAACCAAAAAGATCAGGTAGCTTAACATGTAAGATGGGACTGTGCAGCAGGCTTTGGATAAATTAGCAGAAGCGAGTTCGATACCAATTCATTCCCCCACCCCCTCACATTGTATAAAAAATTAAAAATAAAAAGATAAAACTGGAATTACACCCGTTCTTGGCCTCTCACCAAAATATTCCTATGGAAGGGAAAGTATACTTATTCTAGGAAAGAAATACTAATCCAAAATAAAACAGGAAATTAAATCTAATCCCAATAAAACTGGAAATAATCCTAATCTATACTATTAATTAAGAGGACCCACTTTGTCAACCAAAGAGGGTAAATTACTATTAAACCCCCTTTAAGCTTAGTAAGTTGTATAAACTAATTTAAGTTTAGTGGTTATTTAGTAATATCACTAGCATGCCCCTCCTATTGTTTCTCTCTCACCCTTAAACTTCTCTTTTGCAAGTTACTACCTACCATGACATGCATCACGTGTGCCCTTCTGCCTAGTCCTTACAAAAGTAGGAAATCAGAAGACTAAAAACCTTAGATATTAAAATACTAAACCCTAAACTTTGGTTAAGCATCAGCATACCTCCTGGAGCCTTCGCCCTTCTCGAGTCGCCTGCTCTTTTGCACGCTTCAGAGCTTTTAGTTTCCAACTTGCACCCCCATCCCCAACAACTGAGGAAGACAAAAGTTTGTTTCCAGTAGCTTTAGGTTCATCTGTATCTTCCGGATAACCAGATCCATCATCCTTTAAATATGGATTTAACTCCCTCGGATTGAACTTTATCTAAAACACAGGGAAGATAAAGTGCAGTCAGCAAACCATATACTCGTAAAAAGAAGTCAGGAACCATTTTTATTTTCAGTTGTAGGTTAAAACTCTTTGCAGTTAATTTCAGTAATTTGGCTTGTGTCCATTTTAGTCTTCGAACTCTAAAATGTGGCACTTAGCATCCTAAAGAAAAAATTGTCAGTTTAGTTGGGGACAACAGTAATTGCTGATCTACACCCATAAGCCAATGGGTTAAACCTGTACCCTTTCCTGTGCCATCTCTGACCCACACCAACCAAAACAAGCATGAACTTATTTGCCACATAATAGAAACTTTATGGCTTGGTTGGTTGTAACTCCAATTTAGTAGAACTAGAAAGGTAAATTCTAGCTTTACTAGGTGAAAAAGCATACCTCATCAGTAAGAGTTTCCTTTGGCTGCTCCTTGCCAGTCACTGTAGGGGTTCTATCTGTTTTTCCTTCAGGTCTAAGCATCCACTCTAAGCCAAATTCCTTCCTTGCAATTTCCCCATCTTTCAAACACCCAGGTCCTCTACCTCCATCTACATTGACAAAAAGAATGTGAATTTGTAAAGACCATGTGATTAAATAATATATATTTTAAAAGAATGGCTTAGAATACCTACCAGAAATTTCTTCATCCTCCATGCCTCCTCGAATCTTACGCTTACTCTTTTTCTTTCTATCTTTTTTACTTCCTTTTTTGCGCCTTTCTTTCCTATCAGAACAACTGCCACTGTCTTTACCATCAGATGCAGAGGAAGAGTGATCCTCTGATGCATATTCTTTCCTGCCACTCTTCAATCTCTTCTTTGAGCTATAACTGACTTCATCCTCTGAAATACCCTCATTAATTCTCTTACCTTTTTTCCTACTCTGACTCTTCCTTCTACCTCGATCGGAACTTCCCTCACTTTCAACGTCCGAAGAATATGATGATGATGAATACTCGTCCGACGAATACCACTTGTTTTTGGATCCCTTCTTTATTTTATCAAGCTCTTCACCGTCTGAACTACTATATCGAGAACTCTTCTTTTCCTTCCTACGCTTATTCACCTTACTACTCGACCTCTTCTTCTGTTTTTGTTTTTCTTTCCCAGGAGCGCTCAGATTCTCATCCTGTTACCAACAACATAAACTATTAAGCTACTCTCTAAAATAACAAATTAAACAACAGAACGAACAAAGGATAGGATATACCTTATCAATCTGATCTCGGGGTATGATCTTTACTCCAGCAAGCATTTTTTTAACTAACTGCCACCAATATGGTCAAGGTATGTACAATCAAACAATCAGCATCCTGCACACAACCACAAACAAAAAAGCTAGATATGTTACTCTCCAAAGATGAAATAAAAAATAACGTCACCCTCTGAATAATTTTGGGGATAAACTAACTTGAAAACTTTGATTTAGCCTTTCATCTTTCATTTCATATTGTAAGTAACACTTAATGAGCTTCTTTTCCCTCAAAAGTAATATTTTTCATAAATGAATGTGGAATATTTGCAGGTTCCTAAATAAAAATTCTTGATGGTTCACTAGGGAAAAGGAAAATGGTTAATGGTTCACATGGTGGGTTTTGATGAGAAAACCATATGATCTGATTCCTGAGTAAGCAAAGCTCCAATGATATTCAACCCTTCTTAAGAAAAATCAATCTTGAAAAACATAAGTCCTAAATATCATGGAACACCACTACATGTCGGTAAAAGATGATGGTTTGATTGTTTGGACAACCGATCACATTATTCAATAATCTTCCTAGTAGCGCCCAGTTGTTTCCCAAAGCTCAAAGCACTCTACATTTCATACAAAAGTTACTTCCTTCAATTTCAACTCATTTTCACTGAACTCAACAATGCTTATTACTCTTTCCTTAAACCAAAAAGCAAACCTTCCAGGAACAATTTGCACCACGCCACCGCGATTTAAACCGAAAGCAAGCTTAACACTAAGGGCAATTTTTATGCAACATATAAGAACCTAATATCAATGAGGGCATAAGTTGGAAGAGAAGAAAAAGAACGAAGATCGTTGATGCAGGCACTATAAAAGTACAAGAGCGGAAGGATACCCAAAACCCATAACAAATCACAGTCAAAATTAGTGTTATTGCAAACCCTAAATTCAAAATGTTTCACTAGTTTTCCATATTTTCTCATCAAACAAACAAACAAATTCGTATAAAATCAGAAAAGTAAATTACCAGCAGCAGCGTGCTACGTGGCTCGTATGACAGCGTTCCTCTGCCCGCAACGGCGTCGAGGTTTCTTTCGGCGGCGATGAGAGGCGGGCACCGGAGCAACAGTCGGTTCTGAAAGGATCAGCTGTTCCTAATTCGCAGCAGATATCGCCGACGAAAGAGTTTGAGGTGGTTCTGAAGAACCCTGAAGAAAAAATCAGGAGAAAATAAAAAAGGAGTAATCTATCAGTAGGAGTAAACGTGGATGTGGATTTGGATTTGGATTTGGATCATGTGGATTTGGATTTGTTTAACAAGGATGATAGGCGCGCTCGCCCACGGCCTACGCTCCATAGAAAACCAAAAGACAGCTGCTAAATCATTTATCTTATTTCTCCACCCATGTTAACGTTGTATTTACATCTATTATAAAAAGTCAAAAAATTAAAATATTTTACATCTATTATAAAAAGTCAAAAAATTAAAATATTATTTCTCCACGCAAGTGACTCTTTATCAGAGTGATGTAAAAATGTTGAACCCTTGCATGACGCCGTGGATTCAAATTTCATCGATTACTAATCTAAAATCTAATGTAATAAAATCTATCGTTTGACCAAAAAAATTGCTATTTCCCCACCCACTTTTATTTCTAAAAAAATGGGATCTTCTAATCTTTAGCATGAGGTACACGTTTGGTCGGAATTGAAAATAAAAAATCTTACTCAAGTAAACCATCTCTCAAGCCCGAACCCCTAGGGCTTTTTTCGCAAGGAGCACATGTATGTGGGGTTATGTTAGATGATGATGAAGAATGCTTTCTGAAATTCAATTAAGGGAAGGCAGATAAGAGTTACAAAGAGGTTCTGATTTAGGCAACCAAAATCCTAGGGATAAAAAAAATCTAGTAATTATTCCAAAAAAAAAAAAAAAAACACTAAACCATAGACATGGATTTAAAAGAAGAGCATGAATTCTAAAGCAAAACAAGACAGAAAAAATCCTAATTCATATTCCCTGAGGAACAAACCAAGAGCAATTTAGTTAGAAAAATACACGGGAGTTTAATGAGAAACAATACTATGAACAGAATCTGAAATTGTCTGACGCATAAGCATGGCAGCGTTGCTTACCAGCTTCAATTTTTGTCCAGCTCCACAATCTCTCTAGTTATAATAGTAGATCCTACAATGGATTTCAACTATTGTATACAAGTAATGTACGGAGTAGCCCATTCTAAACACCATGGTTCACATTATCTTTCCCAATTTGTCGCTACAAGAGGAATTGGATGACATGATTTCAAGAACACCTGCATAACAACTTAATTAAACTAGACTACAAGAAATTTATAACTTAAACTTAAAGTAAATGCATTCAATCCTTATAAGATCACCTGCAAAAATTTCCAACAATAAATCCTTATATTCATACCTGCACAAAATGATGAGTGGTGAATCCGATGACGATCTCCTTACGTGCTGCTAGTGGTATAGGTGTTGTTCTAAGACGTAAAAATGTAAGACATTGTACATCTGATAGGTGGATAAGTACCACACCATAACATGATGCAATAATATGGTCCATGTTAGGCATAGTCATTCATTGATCAATGTTTGCATGAGTTTCAAAATATCTTAATGCATGCTTCAACTCATGGACACTATTTTCAGACCCATATAGCTTGGAGTAGCAACTTGAGTAAGTCTTTAACTCTTGTAATAAATATTTTTGCACTTGGACCCATCCATCCTCATTATAACCTAATAATGATGCAATTGCTTTAAAACCTCAATGTCTATCAGCTGCCACATCTTTTACAAGAATAATGTATGGCCTCAATGCCACTAAAAATGCATTAATTAACTTTGTTTGTACCATACTTGACCAATCTCGAAACTACTGAGCACTGGTCAACAGTATACCGTCAAGGACCCACAAGAGTTTGCCTCCAACCAAAAGGCCAATCACAACGCGACACGTGTTGATATCAAAAGCCAATCACAGCGCAACACGTGTCGATATCAGAGGCCAATCACAGCACGACATATGTCAATGTCAAAACAAAGCTAGAAACTCTCTTCTATAAAAAAAGGATCATTCTCCCACAATAATCCCTAATGTCATTTGTACTAAATCATTCACTAGAACTCATTAAAGGAGAGCTTAAACCTATGTATTTGTATAAACCCTTCACAACTAATGAGAACTCCTCTACTCCGTGGATGTAGCCATTCTGGGTTAACCACGTAGATCTTGTGTTTGCTTCTCTGTCTCTGTCCATTTACATACTTATCCACACTCGTGACTGGAGCAATCTGGTGAAGGTCACAAACTTGACACTTTCTGTTATACCAAAATCCTCGCTGATTTTGTGTATCAACATTTGGTGCCGTCTGTGGGAATAACACTTACTCCTACTCTCGTTAGCTTTGTCAAGCTGGTTTCCACCATTCGTACACTCTCTTTTGACCAAGCATTCCTCTCCAACATGGCAAGCGAAGGAAGCCACAACACATAGAATGACACCCCTCTCGCGCCTAGTGTAAGACAGCGAAAGAAAGAACGAAATAAGTTCGCTCTTCAAGCTAAAGTCAAAAAGCTGGAAGCTCAGAACAACAGGATAATAATGAAGAATGAGGTCCTTCATGAGTAGTATGAGAAACTCTTTGAGATGCTCCATGAGGCTAGGCATACTCAAACACATGAGCTTATTACCCCCGCGGAAGTCAACCACCAAATGGGTGCCCCCTAACACAGAGGGTCACCAATCTTTGACATGGCTGTTCCTAATAAAGAGCGAGTTAATCATCAAGGTTTTGATCAACATGAGCCCTCTCTCAACCTAGCTGCTTCGACCCGAAGTGGGAGAAGTGGAGGAAGGCATCTCCTTGCAGAGGGAGCGAAATGATCGAAAGTCATTTATCGTAACTGTCGAGACTTCTTGAGACAACATCAAGAGAATCTCATCCACATAAGCTCAAAGATCAATAACCCAAGGGTTTCTGAAAGACTTAGTCCCCTCCCATGACCTAGGCCAGCTGTCAATCTAGGAAAGGAGCAACAGGTCCCAGAGGAACATGAAGGTACAGGGGACTCGGAAGTATTCTGAAAGACTCGTTCTAGAAGTCAGTACAGCCAGTCCAAGGAAAAATCACACGCTCTTGATCAAACTTTCCTACTTCTAAGAGGCAATTAAGACTTACAGAAGAAAACTCCAATAGTACATGACTTCACTCAGGATCCTCTTGTCCTTCAGCTTATTGAGGAAGTAAATAAGTTAAAGCCTGAACATCAGGCCGAGATACCTGACTGGAACCAACCCAGGCCTGACCCTCTTACAAGAAGGATCATCAACACCCCCTTCAAGTGAAGATAAAACAGAAACTCAGTTTACAACTCTACACTGGAAGGAAAGATCCGATTGAACACCTTAATCTCTTTGAGTTCACCATGGCATACCAAATGCATACCGATGAAGAACGATATCTTCTCTTCCCCTCCACCCTTTTTAGTGGAGCTTTAAATTGGTATTGTCATCTTCCACTTGAGACGGTAGACTCATTTGAGGAATTGAGGAAACTATTTGTCTCTCAACACATCTTCCAGACCGATCGCTTGCACTCCACAGATGACTTGTACACTATTCGCCAGAAGTCGAACGAGTCACTACGAAAGTATGCCAGCCGCTTCAGCTATGAGTATTCTTGTTGTGCTAAGGCAGATGATAATACCGGCCTCAAGGCCTACGTGACTGTTTCTTCAAGTACATGATCAATGCCAACACTTGGAAGATTTACTCTGAGGTGATGGCGCATGCTTACAACCACGTCTCTGCCGAGGCAATGACATATCAAGGGAAACCCCCTACAGCCACCCTTTATCAGCAAGTGGGGAGTGAGAGCCAGATCCAACCAAATGAGAAAACCTCAACCTTCCAAACAGCAGCGGCACCCATTCTTGGCTTACTTAATGTTTCGCCAAGACAACAAACATATCAACCTCAAGGCAAGAGGAAAGATTTCCATCCTCACCAGTCCCATTTTAGTTAGAATAATAAGGGGCACTATCGCGATAACCAAGAGTATCACCACGATAATGCCCGCCCCTAGGCAGTCAACGCAGTAGGCCAAACACTTGTCAAGACAGGCCCTACGCCGAGGTATGAGACCTACACACCTTTGAACGCCACATGCGCGACCATTTACCCTAGTATAGCTCACCTGATACCGAAGCCAAAGCCGAGGCAACCAGATTACAAGTCCACGAAGAACACAAGCATACTACTACCACGAGTATAACGACCATGATGATGAGAATTGTATCACCCTTCGTGATCATATTGAAGCTTTGGCACGTGAATGAAAAATTGATCAATTCCTCCTTCACCCTCCAAGGGATAACCGTAACCAACGCCAAGTGAACGTGATATATTTCATAAGCGGCGGCACACCCATATCTGAATCTTTCAACAGAGGCATGAAAAACTGTGAACGAACTTTAAGGCCTGGCCACCAAGTGTTTCACGTGGAAGACATCAGGGGAGAGAAGTATTAAAAGCCTAACTGGGATCCAATATGTTTCTACCTTGAGGAAGAAAGAGGTATCACTTACCCTCACAATGACCCATTGATCGTGGAGGCTTACATAACAAACTTTGACGTACGACGAATCCTGGTAGACACAGGGGCTTCGGTCAATATCATGTTTGTTGAAGCTTTCAGGGCACATAATGTAGCTGAACACTTGCTCGATCACTCAGTTTCTCATCTGATAAGCTTTTCCGGTGATGTCGTGCAACCTTTAGGGAGCATACATTTACCCTTCACCATAGGTACAGGCCCTTACACAGCCACCATCACCACTAACTTCTTGGTGGTTGACTACCCAATGGCATACAATGTCATCTTTAGGTGCACGGGCATCAATGATCTCAAGGCTATGGTATCCACACAAATGTTGTTGATGAAATTTCCAACCCCCTTAGGGCAATGGTTACATCAAAGGAGATCAACTTAGTGCACGATCACGTTACAACACTTCAGTCAAGCAACAACACTTGCATATGCCCAAAGAAACATTTTCTATACATGACCAAGTTATAAAGACCAGCTTGAACAAAGCCAACTTGGATTTTCATGGTGGTAACAGACAACCTGACCCGACGATCCTCGAGATGACTCTTTCACCCAGCAAGCACAACCTGCTGAAGAGTTGGAGAAGGTCTCTATCTCAAAAGATTATCCAGACCACATAGTGAAGATTGGTACCACTTTGTCACCATCCATTCGGTTGGCCTTGATTTCGTTTTTGCAAAAGAACATTAAAGTCTTCGCCTGGTCATACGAAGACATACCAGGCATCTCTCCCAATATCATCTGTC